CCTGGAGCTGCTCACACCAGGGAACCTGGAACGGGAGTGTCTCGAGGAGAGGTGTTCCTGGGAAGAGGCGAGGGAGTACTTTGAGGACAACACTCTGACAGTGAGGGCCTCAGGACCCTGGAGTTGGGGCCCTCTGTCTTCTCCAGGCCCCGGGGGAGGGGGTATCCTGGCCTCAACTCCCTGCTCCTTGGCATTTCAGAGATCAGGGTAGACTGGCTTGGGGGGTGAATGTTCCAGCTGAATTGCTGCCTTCACTGCTCTCTTCCACTCCTACCCCTCTAAGGAGCGCTTCTGGGAGAACTACATCTACAATGGCAAAGGAGGTGAGTGGGGGGCTGACACCCTCTTGTGCAGTTGAGGCAGCCCCTTCCCATGGAGGCCAAACCAACATCCCCCACCCCAAATTAGGCACAAGAATCATCTGTGCCCCCAATTCCCTGCTCCCTGAAGATGGTTGTTAAAGGTGTCCCCTCCCCTGAGACCAGAGCCCCTGCCTGAGGAACCCACCACATCTACTGGACTATTGGGTGAAGGTCGCATGTCCCCAGAAAGGGGGAAGTGCTGGTGGAGGAGGCAAGGGTTCTAGCCACAGGGCCTGTCAGGCCTTAGGCTCAGAGGGGTGGACCCACCTGATCTCTTCTCTGGAGTCCAGAGCCCCAGCGCCTTTGGCAGCTTGGTTGCTGGGGGGCTGCTCCCTAGCAACGGGGCCAGGGAACCTGGCCATCCTCACCTGCCCAGTTTGCCTGCCCCCAACCCCTCTTCCGGGTTCTGAGGCCCCATCTTGGTGGCAGCCTTGTTGCTAAGGGGGGCTGCTCCTTAGCAACGGGGCCCGGCCAGACCAGACCAAGGAAGCTTGAAGCAGTACCTGGCTGGCTTGCCCTCCCCCATAGCGCCATCCTAGCTGCTGCCTGGTTGCTAAGGAGGCCTTCTCCCTAGCAACCGCATCTAGCCAGGCTCCAGGACCCATGGCCTTCTGCCCACTGGAGGACCACCCTCTGGGCACCAGATACCCCACCCGCTTGTGGCCTGGTTGCTAGGGGCAGATGCACCTTAGCAACAGGCCTTAGGTCTAGGCTGGAGTCCTCACATTGGAGCCTGGTTGCTAGGGGAGGTAACTCCTTCCCTACAGGCCATGCCAGGCCTAGTGGCTCCTTGAATCCACCTGAAACGAGGCTGAATCCGGAGGACCCACCTCCTCAGTGCAGCTTTTTGCTAAGGAAGCTAAAAAGCCTGGGGTTTGCTGTTTGAGGAAAGCCCCCCTACCCAGTGCCAAAGGAAGTCTCCCCAGCAGTAATAGCTAGCAAGGCCTCCCCAGGCCCCCTTGGGCTTAGATTGCTAAAGAGGGCTGCGCCTTTGCAAGAGGTCCACATGAGTTCTAGACTCCTAGTTATTTGGGGGGGCTCCCTATGTTCTCGCATTGTTGAGTGAATTTTTTCCTAGCCTTCTGGTAAATTCAGAAGCCTTCCTGTGGATTCTGCACTTCCTTCAGAGTTGAGGTCTTGCCCCTCAGTAGCCTGGTTGGTAAAAGGGGCTGCATTTTCTCAAAGTGAATGCAGAGTTGCCAGAGAAAATACAGGAACATCCCCCTACCTCCACCCCCAGTTAACTTTGAATTTCAGATACACAGTGAAAAAATTTTAAAATATAAGCATGTCCCAAATAGTGCACGGGACATACTTATACTAAAAAATTATTTGTCGTGTATTTGAACTTCACATTTAACTGGGTGGCCTGTATTATCATTACTACATCTGGTAGTGCCCAGTGTACGGGCCTCTTGAAGCCTTCGGGTGCCTGAGCTCCCCACCTACCTTCAGTGCGTCAAATCAGCTGCCCACTCGGTGGACAGCTCCCTTAGGAGGCTGTGGCCCTGACTCATAGGGACTTGAACTACCCTGTGTCCAGGGAGGGCCTCTCTTGTCGTGTGGATATAGCTACTGTATTTTCTAGTCCCAGATGAAGTTATCACAGGCCCCTTATGCATTTGATATCATTGAGTTTTCACAGCCAGTGGCACAGGGGTTACGGTTACCATTTTACAGAGCAGGAAATGGAGGCTCAGAGAAAGGAGCGAGGTGAATTGCCTGAGGTCACACGGTTAGGAAGCGTCCCCAGCTCTGCCTTGCCTCTAAGTCTGTACTGCTTATGGGGAAGGGATTTTGATGCTGGGGTGGGTGGCATCCCTTGAGACAGTGGCTCCCCTCCCCTCCCTGCAGGGCGTGGACGAGTGGACGTAGCAGGCCTGGCAGTGGGGTTGACATCTGGCATCCTGCTCATTGTCCTGGCTGGCCTGGGAGCCTTTTGGTATCTGCGCTGGCGACGGCGCCGAGGCCAGCAGCCTTCTCCCCAAGAGTAAGGGGCTTCAGGGAGGAGACTGCAGAGTGGAGAGCAGAGGAGGGAGGGGATGGGCTAAGGACTGGGGGCAGGTGGGCACTAAAGATCTGAGGACACAGCCATGTGCTGAGTGAGTGTGTGAGCTTGCTTGTGTCTGGTTGTGGCGTCTCTCTGTCTAAATCCTCAGTACCTGGCACAAAGTAGGAGCTCTGTCGACATTTGCTGCCTGCCTGTCTTTATGGTACTGGGTTTCTGCGAGATTATCACTCTGGATAGTGTATCTGGTGAGGCTACATCAGTCTATGTTACTGTGCAGCCTGTGGTTTAGGGGTGTCTGTGGCATGTCAGCTTCTGTGGTGATGGGGTACAGCATTGTGTGTATGTGTCTGTAGGAGTTGTCTGGGGGTGTCTTTCTCACTGGTAGGGTCTGAGAGGGTGTACAAGTGTCAGTCTTGGAAGTATAGTGGGTCGGCGGGGTTAGGATGAGTTTATCCTCCGAGTGATCTGGAAGATTTGTGACTGTATCTCTGTATGGTGCTACCCTGTGTGTGGATTGGCAGAGTTCTGTTTCTGTGTGTGTCAGCTTGCCTCTCTGCAGGGCTGGCTTTTTCTCCATTCCTCTGCCTGTGTCTGGGGCACTTGTGTGTCTGTGAATGAGAGTCTTTCTCTGTGGTTGTTGATTTCTGTGTCTGCCTGTCCATGTGCATCTGCCTGTCATTTTGAGGCACTTTTCTGTGTGAAGGGCTAGGCTGAAGGTGACCCTCCTTTTCTCTGGTCCGTCTCCCTTCCACATCTGTCCCCGTGCCACTCTCAGAGTCCTGTCTCCTAGGTCCTCTCTCTTTCTCCCAAGGCTCTCTATCCTGTAGGTTTCGCCTGCTAACTGCACTTTTTCTGTCCCCAGGGCCGGCCTCATCAGCCCTCTGAATCCCCTGAGCCCTCTGGGCCCACCAACTCCCCTGCCTCCACCCCCACCCCCAGGCCTCCCCACCTATGAGCAGGCGCTGGCAGCCTCTGGAGTGCACGATGCACCTCCGCCCCCCTACACCAGGTACGAGGCGGGGCTTCTGTTCGGGGGCGGGGCGCAGAGGGGAGGGCACTGTTGGAGGAGTGGCTTGGGCTCAGGGCCAGGACTTGGAATTTGGGGCTTATTGCCTGGGGCGGGGCTTAGAGTGCGGGGGCGGGGCCCTATGCAATTGTCTGGGGGAGTGGCCCAGCGTCGTCTGTGTGCAGCATTACAGGAGGGTGGGGCTTGTGCCCAGAGGGTCCCGGATTGGCTGAGACCGCCAAGGGCGGTCGGAGTGGTCTTGGTTGAGGTGGGGAAAAACAGCCGGATCTTTGGCTCCCTACTGTGCCGCTCCTCTTGCAGCCTCAGGAGGTCTCACTGAAGAGCTGCCACCGAGCCCCGGCTCGCCGGTGCCCCTGATTCACACCGGATTCCGGAAGCCCCCACGCCTATCTTAGACTCCGGAGCTGAACTTGGGGGGATGGTGGGAGTGGGGGTCCTCTGGCCCGTGGCCTACCCTGCCACACGTTTCGGCTGCATACGGAAACATATGTCCCTGGCCAACGTGTTCCCGCGTCCCGGCCCCTCGCGCGTCCCCACGCTCTCCTGACCATGAGTGCAACCGCCAGTCCCACCCCTGGGGTAGGCATGCGCATGTGGAAACTCGGACCCAGGAGCCTAGCCGGGTGTGCGGTCTTGCGTGTGTGGGCAGATATGACCGGATCATCTATTCCTGTGGCACTGGGTACGCACACAATGAGCCCCTCCTGTGCATACGTGTGTCGTGTCTTTGTGCACTCCCGGTGCGCGCACAGGGGCGCTTCGTAACCCAGGGAAGAGTGGGGGGCATATTTGCAAGCGTGCTCGGTGGGGGCAGGTTCGAATGCCGGGGAACTGGAATTAAGCTATTACCCTAAATAAACGCCCTTTGGAAAGTAGACCCAAAAACGCTCAAACAATGCACACAAATAAAAATCTAACGAAATGAACCGCATTCCCCGGCGCATCGGAGCTGGTTTTCTGTGCAAACGCTGCGCCCTACACCCCCAGGCCCTGCTAGCGCTCAGTCTCTCCCTCTCTCTCTCTCTCTCTCTCTCTCTCTCTCTTTTTTTTTTTGATTTGCACGGGATTGTGGGAGGAAGCGGAGCGCAGCCAGACACCCCGCCGCCCGCCCCCCTTCCCCTCCCCCCTCCCCCAGCCGCCTTGTGCAAAGATGGCTGCACCGTGAGCGCAGAGGAGGAGGAGGCGGCGGCGGCGGCGGCGAGGGAGCGAGCACCCAGCGCCTGCACCCACCCCGGGGCCGCCCGGGACGCCCCCTCCCGAGCGCGCGCCCCCCGTTCTCTCTTGCAAGCGCCGGGGCAAAGGCGGAGACAGCGGGGTCCCTCCTCCCCCCTTTCCCTCCTCCAGGGGGAACCCCCCTTCCCCCCTCCTTGGCTCAGCGGCTGCACCCCCTCCCTTGCCCGCCCCTCCGCCCCTGACCCCTCCCTCCCCCGCCCGGGGCCTTCCCGGGCCTTCGGCGGCTGCAAAGAGAAAAAGAGACAGAGAGAGAAAAGGGGGGGAAAAAAGCAGCAGCGGAGGGAGCGGCGGCGGAGGAGAGCGCGCGCGCGCCCCCTCCCTCCCCTCCCTCCCTCCCCCTCCCCCCAATTTCCACCGCGGCCAATTCATGGACAGGAACTACCCCAGCGCCGGCTTCGGGGACCCGCTCGGCGCCGGGGCGGGATGGAGTTACGAGAGGTCAGCGAAAGCTAGGTAAGGAGCTGAGGGTGGCCTGGAGAAAGGGGCCAAGGGGTGGGGGCCCAGCCGGGCCCGGCCGGGCCCGCCTGGCGACGCGTGCATCACAAACTCCCCTCCGGCTTGCTAGGGAGCGGCCTTCCTCGGTTTGTAACAACGCCGCCGCCCCAGTTTGCAAATTGCAAACTCCGCCAAAGCCAGCTCCGGCATGCAAAGGGAGAAATGCAGCGGGAAAATGGGGGTGCAAAACAATTTTGGACGGGAAGGCCTTGGGAAGGTGGGAGGGACTGGCGAAGCAAGGCCTGGACTTCCCCCCATCCTTGGATTCCCGGCTTGCTGACCCCTCCCCCCCGCACCCCAGGCTCTGCTCTTGCAAACGTGGGAAGGAAAGGAGAATTAGAACGCAGGCTTGGGGGGCGCGCACCCCCTCCCCGGTTCTATTGTTCCGGGACTGCGCGAGGCCGCGCCACGAGCCCCCCCCACAAGAAATTCCGCGCGCAGAGTGGGCACGGGGCCCCGCCCCCTTCCTAAGCTGGGGTTCTGTGTGTGTAGGGGGGTCAGGTATCTGGGACACGCCCCCTTCAATTACCCCACCCGCAAAGGCAGAGAATCCTAGTTGATGGCACGGAATGGAGTGTTTGCCCTCTTGAGTCTCGGCCACGGATTGAGGCCATTGCATGGGAAGAAGAGTCGGATGTTTCCCGGGTGTGTGTTTGTGTGAGCATGGGCCCGGTGCGTGCCTGGCTGGCAGTGTGTTCACCTGTGAATCTTTCCCTTTCCTGCTGCATATCTGTGTGGCGCCCTTACACTTCACCTGCCCCTGAACACCTCCCCCCTCCACACACCTGGGTTTCCCAGCATGGCTGGGCATAACCCCAGGTGTGTCAGGATTTTCCATGTGGGACTCTTCGCTCTGTATCTTTTCTTCCCCACGGGTGAGTTGGGTACCCGTTTGCACACATACCTGGCTTTGCATGGGCCCGTGCATTTGAACCTCAACCTCCGGGGATGGACGGTGTTCTTGTTCACACTTGTACTTGGTACTTTCCCCGGGTCCTATCCCCTCCCCTCCCCATCCCCCACCACTGCTGTTTGGGGAACAGTCTGCCTCCTGCTCCCGACTTGGTTTGTACCACCCCATGAGGTTTAGGGCCTATGTGTTCCCACGTGTCTGCAGAAGAGGGGGCATCTGTGTGCACCTCTAGAGTTGGCCCTACAGCCTGTGTCACCGGCGCTGGGGTGGAGGGGCAGCTAGGGTGCAAGGGTGACAGGGGAGGGCTCAGGAGGGTCCACTGCTTTCACATTTGCAACTCAAGATGCTTCCTCTGATTTGTACCCTCTTCTGTGTGTTTGTCTCATCTCTGTGCATGCCTGTTTGTAAATTGAGACTGTAAGGGCTCTATTTATTGGGGCTCTGGAGTGGGGGTCATTTGGCTCTTTAGTTGGGCATCCCGATTTCCTTGTCTCACCTTTAGGGTACAGTGTTCCTTGGGATAACCCCCCAGTCAACTGGAAGGTTCCCCACCCGACGACTCCCTGGGGGATTTCCTGAGCTCCCTTCTCAGAGGGCAGCTTGGGAGAACCCCCTGACATCTTCCCCTTCCCCTCAGCTTGGTCTATGGCAGCTCCAGGACCTCGCACCCTGAGACGGACATCCTACACCGCCAGGCCTACGCAGCCCCCCACCCACTGCAAAGCTATGCCACCAACCACCACCCGGCAGGTACGGCCCCCATCCCGCCCTGCTTGGGCTGGCCCGCCCTCAGAGGGAGCTGATTGGCTACTGAAAGTTCCACCCCTCCTAATTGGCCGTGTCGTGTGTCGTGGCCCGCCCCATGCTGTCTCTCCTCTGATTGGTTGACTCTGAGGCTGCTGGTCCTTGCTTAATTTCTCGCCGGATTCGTCTGCCCCTGTCTCTGGCCCCGCCCCTTTCACTCCAATTGGCCCTGTCCCATCAGACCCCAAATCCCACCTTCTCTTCCAGGTTTTTCCGTCTCTTTCCAGCTCACCCCAATCCTTTCCCTCTGGGTTTGCTCCGTCCTCTGGGCTCCTTGGAACTCTGAATTCTTTCTTCCTGATTCCCTTTCTTCCTGATTGGCTCCAATCCTTTGGCCCTCCCCCTTTTACCTTAGATTCGCCTGCTGCCTTATTCTACCCCTTGGTCTTGCCTCCAACGCTTCTAATTGGTTCCCTTGCTTTGCTGCAACTTCCCCCTTCCTAGATGTATCAGCAATGAGACGGTGCTGTCCCCTTTGACCCTTGACCCTCCTGATTGGACCCTTCCCTTTTTTCCTCACCCTTTTTTTTCTGGATCCTTTCACTTTGGCTCAACTCCTTTTGACTTGTCCTCTGGTCTTCGTGCGGCTCCAGTCGTCCTATCCTTTACCCTTCCTGGCTGGAGTTGCCCAAATCATTTGGTTTCCCCCACCCCCCACCCCCACCCGCCCTTACTGAGGACTCTGTCCTTTTGCTCCTGCCTCCTTCACTTCTGGATTTTTCTACTCTTTATAGAACCATTTCCTGCCCTTGTCGTTGGGTCCTCCCCTCCCATCCTGCTCCACTGCCTCTCCTTTCCCCCTTCCCTCTCCTCGGTCCTGTCTGGTTAGCTGGTTCTGCCCATTTTCTCCTCTTTGAATCAGACCCTTTCTGTTCCTCAAATCGTTTCCCTGACTCCCCTTGCCTTTAGCCTCTTCCTTTTCTTTCTTGACCCTGCCCTATCCCCCACCTGGCTGACTCTACTCCCTATTCCTGGCTAGGCCTCTCTGGACTCTTTGACACTGGCCTCCACCACGCAGGCTCGGCAGGGCCGGACACCTCCGTCATGAACCTCATCTCAGCCCTGGAGTCCCGGGGGCCCCAGCCTGGCCCCTCCGCCTCCTCTCTCCTCTCCCAGTTCCGTAGTCCTTCCTGGCAAACAGGTAAGCCCAGCACCAGACCTGGAGGGGCAGGGTGGGGCTGGCTTGTGGTCCCCTCTGACCTCCAATGTTCGTCACCTCCAGCCATGCACACGCCGGGCCCCACGGAACTCTTCATCTCGGGTGCCCTGCCGGGTTCCAGCACCTTTCCGTCCTCCTCTGCCCTGTCGGCCTACCAGCACCCGGCTTCCTTCGGCAGCCGCCCCTTCCCAGTGCCCTCGTCCCTCAGCCTCCAGGACCCCCCATTCAGTCCTCCAGCTAATGGGCTCCTGTCCCCTCATGATGTGCTACACCTGAAGCCCTCTCAGGCACCCACGGTACCCTCCTCGTTGGGCTTCGAGCGCCTGGCAGGGGGTGGTGTTCTGGGGCCTGCTGGTCTTGGTCCAGCACAGACCCCCCCTTACCGCCCTGGCCCCCCAGACCCACCACCACCTCCCCGCCACCTCCCAACTCAGTTCAATCTCCTGGCTTCCTCTTCCGCTGCTGCCGCTGAGCAGTCCTCCCCACAGCTCTACAACTTCTCGGGTACTGCCCCGGGCCCACCGCCGCCCGAGCGGGCCCTGCCCCGCCAGGACACCGTCATCAAGCACTACCAGCGGCCAGCCAGTGCCCAGCCCCCACCACCTCCGCCACCAGCCCATGCCCTCCAGCACTACCTGAGTTGTGGAGGCAGCTACCCCTCCATGGGCCATCGGGCCAACCTGGCCTGCAGCCCTCTGGGCGGTGGGGAGCCCTCCCCGGGTGCTGGGGAGCCTAGCAAGGCTGGTCCCAGCGGAGCCACAGCTGGGGCATCAGGCCGAGGCACGGGCCCTGAGGCGGCCGGGGGAGGTGGGGCTGGGGGTGGTGGTGGAGGTTACCGCCCCATCATTCAGTCGCCTGGTTATAAGACTAGCAAAGGTGGTTATGGAGCAGCTGCGGGGGGTGCCACCAGGCCCCCACCACCCCGTTCGACTGCCACACCCAAATGCCAGAGTCTGGGAGGGCCAGCAGCAGCCTACGCCACTGGGAAGGCCTCTGGGGCTGGCGGGGCAGGGGGCCAGGCCTATTCCCCTGGTCAGCCGCAAGGGCTTCTGGGACCCCAGGCCTACGGGCAAGGGTTTGGTGGGGGGCAAGCACAGGACTTGAGCAAAGGCCCCAGCTACTCAGGGGGCCCCCCACAGCCTCCCAGTGCCCCCCCACCTCCTGGCCTAGCCACCTGTCAGAGCTACTCTCCGGACCAGCTGCAGGGGCAGCTGTATGGGGTGCAGGGTGAGCCCTACCCAGGGCCAGCTGCCCATTCCCAGGGGCTCCCCACAGCCAGCCCCTCACTCAGCTATAGTACTGGCCATTCCCCAGCACTCTCAGGCCATGGGGGTGGCTGGGGACCCAGCTCCCTGGGAGGCGGTGGGGAGGCCAGCCCTTCTCACATCATTCGCCCACTCCAGTCGCCGCCTGCCACAGGCCGCCCTCCTGGAGTCGGTTCTCCAGGAGCCCCTGGCAAATACCTGAGCTCAGTCTTGGCCTCAGCCCCGTTCTTGGCACCTCCAGGAGCCGGCAGCTATGCATCTGGAGCAGGCGGCTACAAGGGCAAGGGGGATGGCTCAGAGCTGCTGGCTGGCCCTGGCGGGCCACCTGCTGAGCGCACAGAGGATGAGGAGTTCCTCATTCAGCACCTCCTTCAGGCGCCCAGCCCCCCTCGGACCTCAGCGGCGGATGGCTTGGTGGGCGAGGATGGGGCAGCCGATGCCTCCAAGGGACTTGGGGGGAGTGGCGGGGCTGGGGGACCGCCGGGCACACCCTACGAGTTGGCCAAGGAAGACCCCCAGAGGTATCACCTGCAAAGTGTCATCCGCACCAGTGCCAGCCTGGACGAGGGTGCCACGGCCGCACTTGAGCTGGGCCTGGGAAGGCTGAAAGAGAAGAAGAAAGGGCCAGAACGGGGTGGTGAGACCCCAGAGGGGCTGGCCACCTCAGTTGTCCACTACGGGGCAGGTGCCAAGGAGCTGGGAGCCTTCTTGCAGAAGAGCCCGCCACCCCCGCCTCCATCTGCCCAGCCTACCCAGCCCACCCCCCATGGCCTCCTCCTGGAGGCTGGAGGCCCTGACCTCCCACTGGTGCTGCCTCCGCCTCCCCCCCAGCTGCTTCCCTCTGTCCTCAGCCACGCCCCCAGCCCCTCTCCCAGCGCCCCCAAAGTCGGTGTCCACCTCCTTGAGCCAGCTTCCCGTGATGGGGCGCCCCAGCCGCCCCCGCCGCCGCCCCCACCTCCACCACCCATGCCCCTGCAGCTCGAGGCCCACCTCCGTAGCCACGGCCTGGAGCCTGCGGCCCCCAGCCCCCGCCTGCGACCAGATGAGAGCCTGGAGCCCCCAGGTGCCATGCAGGAATTGCTCGGGGCTCTGGAGCCGCTCCCCCCCGGGCCTGGTGACGGGGCCGTGGGCCCACCTAACTCAGAGGGCAAGGATCCTGCGGGCGCCTACCGCAGTCCCAGCCCGCAAGGTACCAAGGCCCCCCGCTTCGTACCGCTGACATCCATCTGCTTCCCGGATTCCTTGCTCCAAGATGAGGAGCGCAGCTTCTTCCCCACCATGGAGGAGATGTTCGGCGGCGGGGCGGCGGACGACTACAGCAAGGCCGGGCCACCCGAGGACGAGGGTGATCCCAAGGCGGGCACTGGGCCACCTCCAGGCCCCCCTGCCTATGATCCCTACGGGCCCTACTGCCCTGGCCGGGCATCTGGAGCTGGGCCCGCGACACCGGGCCTGGGCCTGGACCCCAACAAGCCCCCGGAGCTGCCCTCTACGGTCAACGCTGAGCCGCTGGGCCTGATTCAGAGCGGGCCCCACCAGGCGGCCCCGCCGCCCCCGCCTCCCCCACCGCCACCTCCGCCGCCAGCCTCCGAGCCCAAGGGCGGCCTGACCTCGCCCATCTTCTGCTCTACCAAGCCAAAGAAGCTGCTCAAGACGTCCTCCTTCCACCTGCTGCGGCGCCGCGACCCGCCCTTCCAGACGCCCAAGAAGCTGTATGCGCAGGAGTACGAATTCGAGGCGGACGAGGACAAGGCCGATGTGCCCGCTGACATCCGCCTCAACCCCCGCCGCCTGCCTGACCTGGTGTCCAGCTGCCGCTCCCGCCCAGCCCTTTCTCCGCTGGGGGACATCGACTTCTGCCCACCCAACCCGGGCCCTGATGGACCCCGGCGCCGAGGCCGCAAGCCCACCAAGGCGAAGCGTGACGGTCCCCCCCGGCCCCGGGGGAGACCCCGGATCCGCCCGCTGGAGGTCCCCACTGCAGGGCCAGCCTCGGCCTCCACGCCCACGGACGCGGCCAAGAAACCCCGGGGCCGGGGCCGAGGTCGGGGCAGGAAGGCTGAAGAGGCAGGGGGCACCCGGATGGAGCCCCTGAAGCCACTAAAGGTGAGGGGGACTGGGTCTTCAGGCTGGGACCTAATGCCTGAGTAGTACAGAAGAGAAAGGATTGGGGCCACATTTGGGCATTTTGGGGCAGGGGGATAAGGTTTACTCTCCTAAAGCCTGTGAGGAGATGAGTCTGGGGTTGGAGTTCCAGGGTCACTGATCTAAGAATTAAAACTCTGCCCAAGGAAGCTGGGGCCTGGGGCCTGGGTTTTTGGCTTCTGTATCCTAAAGGTTGGGCAACCAGGGACCCTACGTTCCTGGGTCTTCTGGGAGGCGGGCCTGGGGACCTGAACTGGGCTGTAAGCAAAGACAGGTCACTGGGTCTAAGTGCCTTGCCTTCGGAGGGAGAAAGTCGGGTCCTGTCGTTCTGGAATCTAAGAGAAGGGGTCTGTAGGATTGAGCTCTAGATCTCACAGGCTGAGAGTCTGGGAGTTTGGACTTTCGGGTCTTAAGTAGGGGGGCACTGGGGGCCTGGACGCCTGGGCTCTCACTCCCCACCGCCCCATATCTAGATCAAGCTGTCTGTGCCCAAGGCTGGCGAGGGTCTGGGAGTCTCCTCAGGCGAGGTGGTATCTGGTGCTGACCACAACAGCCTGGACTCGAGCCTGACGCGGGAGAAGATCGAGGCCAAGATCAAGGAGGTGGAGGAGAAGCAGCCGGAGATGAAGTCGGGTTTCATGGCCTCCTTCTTGGACTTCCTCAAGTCAGGCAAGCGCCACCCGCCGCTCTACCAGGCGGGCCTGACGCCCCCGCTCAGCCCACCCAAGAGCGTGCCACCCTCTGTACCAGCCCGAGGCCTGCAGCCCCAGCCCCCGGCCGCCCCTGCTGTACCACACCCCCCACCTGCCGGCGCCTTCGGTCTGGGGGGCGCGCTGGAGGCTGCAGAGAGCGAGGGGCTGGGGCTAGGCTGCCCTTCACCCTGCAAGCGGCTGGACGAGGAGCTGAAGCGGAACCTCGAGACACTGCCCTCCTTCTCCTCGGACGAGGAAGACTCTGTCGCCAAGAACCGGGATTTACAGGAGAGCATCTCCTCGGCCATCTCTGCCCTAGATGACCCACCCCTTGCTGGGCCTAAGGACACTTCCACCCCGGATGGGCCACCCTTGGCCACCACAGCTGCAGTCCCGGGACCACCCCCTCTCCCGGGACTCCCCAGTGCCAACAGCAATGGCACGCCCGGTGAGCTCTGAGCAGGTCGTCTGGGGGCGGGGCAGGGTTTTGGGTTATCGTGGTCACTAGATACAATTGTGCAGGTTACACACTGTTTAAGGGAGACCATTCGTGTAGATGATATAGATTTGTACGTTTCCAAAGGTAATTTCCTGACTGGGGGCAAACAAGTGTTTTGAGGAAGGCACATCTGTTTCTAATCTGCCCAGAGGTGCTAAGTGGACCCAGGGTGGACACTGGAGAAGGCAGGGAGACAGGGCAGGTGTTTGCGATCGGGATGGGTGAGAGGTACTGAGAGAGGTTCTGAAACTGGTGGGGATGTGGGTCTGAGAGGTCTCTGAGGAGTCAGCGATGTGACATGCAGTAGGGACAGAAGGTGTCTGCGGGGTGGAGAGAGACTTGGGGAGGGGTATGGGTCTTGCAGCTGGTGGGAGGGGAAGGCTGGGGTGCGGCAGGGTCTGGGCGGTCTGAGACAGGCTTTGGACAAAAGTTAAGGGCTGTTAATGGGGGAAGTAGAGGCATGGGAGCATGAGGGTGGGGGTTTGGAGGGGAGCTCAGAGGGGTCCTGGGGAATAGAGAGGTCTTTGGAAGGGCGTAAAAAGGTGGGGAACAGGGAGTGAGGTGAGGGTGGTGAGGCTGAGTGGAGGCTTCAGGGAAAAGCTGGGGGGCTCCAGGCAGAGTGCTGGGCGCGGAGTGGGAGAGAAGGCCGGGGTGAGAGAGCCTTTGACGGGTAGGGAAGAGCCATGGCTGAGGCCACAGGGATGGCCGAGTAGCAGCTTTGGGGATCAGGGATTTCAGGGAGTTTGAGGGGGATGTTTAAAAATCCCTGAGGCTCTTAGTGGAGCAGGCTGAGGACAGGACAGGGAAGGGCTTGGGTGGACGAGGGAAGAGGGAGGTCAGCAGGGAGGGATGACTTGGGGGTGGCAGGAGCAGTAGGAGGAGTTAGGAGCCACACAAGGGCTTTGAGGCCACAAAGAGACGTTTTAGGCCTGGAGAGATGGGGCTTAGAGACTCAAAATAGCTGCCGGAGCAGTGAAGGGTCTCAGGGAAGGACTTTGATGTGGCAGAAGGGCCACTGGGGGGCCTGAGAGGCAGTTAGGGACGAGAGGGAAGGTGCTGGGGGTGGTGAGTGACATCCAGGCTGACTTTCCTCTCCCCCCCAGAGCCCCCACTGCTGGAAGAGAAACCCCCACCCTCCCCATCTCCTGTCCCGACTCCTCAGCCTCAGCCTCCGCCTCCGCCGCCACCACCACCACCACCACCGCCAGCCCTGCCCTCACCGCCACCGCTGGTGGCCCCTGTGCCCAGCTCGCCGCCGCCACCTCCCCTGCCCCCACCTCCACCAGCCCTGCCCTCACCTCCCCCACCGCCACCCCCACCAGCCGCCGCCCCGCCAGCTGCCCCTCCCAAGGAGCCCGCCGCCCCGTCCCCTGAGGACCCTGAGCCGCCTGATGCCCGGCCCCTGCACCTGGCCAAGAAGCAGGAGACGGCAGCTGTGTGTGGGGAGACGGATGAGGAGGCCGGGGAGAGTGGCGGAGAGGGCATCTTCCGGGAGCGGGACGAGTTTGTCATCCGTGCTGAGGACATCCCTTCCCTCAAGGTGAGTCCCAGCCTCGTCCAAAAGCTGGGCTTGTTGGATTTGGCTACTTGGGCATTTATTAAGTACCTGCTGGATGACAAGGCCTGTGTCAGGGGCTGCAGATACAGTAATGGCTGAGACAGACTTGCTGGGCCTGTCCGGAATTCACAGTAGCAAGTGGCCAGTGGGAGCAGTGTGCTCTGATGGAGGGCATGCGGCCTCTGCGGTGTTATTTGCGTGTGTGTGTGTCACCTATGCATATGATAAAGTGGTTGAGAACATCGATTGCAGATACACTGCTGTGGGTGCTAGGGGTACAGTAGTGCACAAAGCAGATGAGGCCCTGGTTTTAGGGAGCTTCTGGTATGACAGAGACACAGACCACGTTGCGATTTGTGCTGGAGCACAGGACGTGGGAGGCGCTGGCCTGGCGTACTTATGAGCGCGCATACATGGAACCCGTAAGTGTAGCTCATTGTTGGGAAGCGCGTCCCATGTGTCAGGCTGTAGCTTCACTGCTTTATATAGACCAGCCTGTTCACTGCGTCCAGTTATTCTACTCCAGGGGTTGGCAAACCACGGCCCCTGGGCCAAATCCAGCCCACTGCTGTTCTTGTAAATAAAATTTTATTGGCACATAGCCATGCTCATTCATTTACATACCATCTCTGGCTGTTTTCCCCATACAGCAGGGAGTGGGGTACATTTCCTGTCTGGCCCATTACAAAAATAGTTTGCCAACCTCTGCGGATAGAGTCGGATCAGAGAATTAATATGATAGGTGCTTGACAAGGGTGGGTGATATCAGATACCCGTGTAGTGCTTTGCAGAGGGCATGAGGCAGAGCAGGTGATGGGTAGGTTAGGAAGCCATTGTCACCCTGGTGGTGGCACTGAAGGCTAAGGCCATTCTCCATATCTTTTCTTTTTTTTTTTTATTTTTTTTTTTTTGAGACAGTCTCACTCTGTTGCCCGGGCTAGAGTGCCATGACGTCAGGCTAACTCACAGCAACCTCAAACTCCTGGGCTCAAGCGATCCTCCTGCCTCAGCCTTCCAAGTAGCTGGGACTACAGGCATGCACCACCATGCCTGGCTAATTTTTATACATATATATTTCAATTGTCCAGCTAATTTCTTTCTATTTTCTTAGTAGAGACGGGGTCTCGCTCTTGCTCAGGCTGGTCTCGAACTCCTGAGTTCAAACGATCCTCCTACCTCGGCCTCCCAGAGTGCTAGGATTACAGGCATGAGCCACCATGCCCGGCCCTTTTTATTTTTTGTAGAGACGGGATCTCACTGTGTTGCTCAGTCTTGTCTCAAACTCCCAGCCTCAAGCGATCCTCCCACCTCAGCCTCCCAAAGTGCTGGGATTCCAGGCATGAGCCACCACGCCCGGCCTTAACCATTTTTAAGTGTACAATTCAGTGGCATTACGGATATTCACATAGTTGTGCAACTGTCACCACCATCCTTCTCCAAGTTTTCTCTTTATAATCATCCTTCATGATGGGGACTACTAATTCTATTTTGCAGAGAAGGAAACTGAGGCTCAGGTAAACTCCTTCCTACTAGGGTTCTTAACCCCATTTTCCACGGAAGGAAACTAAGGTAAAGTAGCTTTCCCAGGCTTTGGCCCTGAGATCCACACCCAGCTCTGCCAGCCGCAGACTCAGCTGTTACCACGTACATTCTAGTCAGATGTTGGCAGTGACAGCCGCCCATGCTGCTGGGCTCTCAGCACTGGGTCAGATGAACAGGGCTCTGGGGCAGGGACCTCAGCCATCCCCATTTTACAGATGGGGAAGTTCACATTCAGAGAGAGGGAGTCTGTTTCCTGGCAGGTGCTGAGCTGGGATTGGAGCCAGGGCCATCTGACACCACCTCCCAGCTGGCATGGGACAGGGGAAGGGGCCAGGCGAGGACTCAGATGCTGAAAATACAACTGGAGTGTGTGTTATAATGGGGGACACACAGCCCCGAGCCACTTAGGCAGACACTGAGGACTTGTTCGTTCATGGGCCTGGAGACAGGGCTAGTTGGTGGCGTGGTTAGGGGAAAACAGCTTTGATGTTAACCTGACCGGCTCGAATCTTGGGCACTTCTGAGCTGGGCTGGTGTCAAGCCTTCTTAAGCCTCGGTTTCCTCAACTGTAAATTGAGGACTCTCTCGTTATGACATGCCCCATTCTCCAGCAGTGAGTGGCACACAGAAGGTGCCTGTAAACATTTGCTTCTGTTATTCCTCGTAGCAAACTTGGGCAAGTCTTTGGCATAGGGCTTGGCAAACTTTTTCTGTAAAGGGCCAGATAGCATTTCCAGCTTTTGCAGACCACATATGGTTTCTGCCTCATAGTTTTCGTTGTTGGTTTTTTTCTTTGGACCATCCTATAAAAATGTAGAAATCAGCTGGGCTCAGTGGCTCATGCCTGTAATCCTAGCAGTCCTAGCAGTCTGGGAAACTGAGGTGGGAGGATCGCTCAAGGCCAGTTCGAGACCAGCTTGAGCAACATAGTGAGACTCTGTCTCTGCAAAAAAAATGGGAAAATTATCTGGGTGTTGTGGCTGGAGTCTGTAGTCCCAGCTACTTGGGAGGCTGAGGCAGGAGGATCTCTTGAGCCCAGGAGCTTGAGGTTGCAGTGAGTTATGATGATACCACTGTGCTCTAGCCTGAGCAACAGAGTGAGACCCAGTCTCAAAAAAAAAATGAAACAACAAAAAAAAGAGAAACCACTCTTCGTTCAAAGACCCTACAAAAACAAGCAGTAGGCTGGGTGCGGTGGCTTATACCTGTGATCCTCGCACTCTGGGAGGCCGAGGTGGGGCTTGAGGTCAGGAGTTGGAGACCAGCCTGGACAAGGGCGAGACCCTGTCTACCAAAAATGGAAAAAATTGGCCAGGCGTTGTGGCACACACCTGTAGTCCCAGCTACTTGGGAGGCTGTGGCAAGAGAATCCCTTGAGCCCAGGAGTTTCGGGGTTACAGTGAGCTATAGTGATACCACTGCACTCTACCAAGGGCAATAGAGTGAGACGCTGTCTCAGAAAAAAAAAACAAGCTGTAGGCCATTGTTTATTCCAGAACAACAACGATCCAACAGAAATATCACCTGAGCCGTACGTGTGATTTTTTTTAACCTTTCTCAATCTCACATTTGTACAATGTAAAAAGACAGATGAAATTAGCCACAGGAATCTATTATATTTAGCCAAGATATCTAAAATATCCTTTCAACATGTAATCAGTATAGAAAAATTACTAACAATGTTTTAAAATTGAGATATTATTAAGATAAAAAGCTAGTAAGACATTTTATATCCCTTTTTGTGTACTAAGTCTTCAAAATCCAGTGTCTGTTGTACACTCTTAGTGCATATCGGTTGGACCAGCCACATTTCAAGTGCTCAAGAGCCACACGTGGGGAGGGGCTGTCACATTGGACAGTGTGGGACTAGCGCACCCTCTAGTTGAGCTTTTGCATATGTAAGATGAGAGTGATAGTATTAACTCCCAGTTCTCGGGATTGTTGTGAGGATTCAGCATATAGGAGTTTATTGGGTGGAGAAGGGTGTGGGTGGGGCAGTCCAGGCAGAGGGAACGGGCTGTGCAAAGGCCCTGTGGTGAGGGAAAGCCTGGCGTGTTTGTGATGTGCAGGGATGCAAGGCGTTGAGTGGCTGGACAGTGATTACCGAGGCTGGGAAGGTGGGCAGGGGCTGGGTAATGTCAGACTTTGAACGCTGTGGTGAGATTGGTGGGTGCTGTCGAAGACATTAGGCTGTGAGCACTGTCGGGGGAGAGGGAGGTGACTGGGGCAGTGTTCAGACCCAGTGTGTCCATAGCCTGTCCTGTGACTGACCTCCCCCCTTTAATGGGACCTTGCAGCTTTCTCAATCCCACGCCTGGGTGCTCCTAGGTCACTGGCTTACCTCACTGCTGCTTATGCCATACGTCTTAGCTCGTCACAGTTCAGATTGTCAGGAGAGAATCTGATTGGTCCTGCTCAGCATTTGGGGCCAAGATGGGGTCAGTGACTTGCCTGTGGGTTGACTGCCCTGGTCAGATCTGCTCCAAGTGGTGGTGGCTTCCATTGAGTAGAGGCTGTGATCTGGCAGCTTTACTAGTAACTGGCAGTGGGTGTGGCCAGTGATTTGATTGGCATGAGGAGAGGCAGGAAGGGCAGGGCTTGGGGACCTACTGGCCCTGATTGGGAAATGGGTGAGGATGATGCCAGGGGTCAGGCCAGATGACTAAGAGCAGGGCGGGGATCCTGGAAAAGCCGTTTGGGGGGAGGCACCAAGCCCATTAGGATGTGTGAGCCAGAGGGGTCCAACCCCAGCTAGAGAGTCAGCAGGTTCTTCAGAGGAAGCAGATGGGGGGGGGACCAAGGAGAAGCATCTCCCCTGACTGGGGAGTGCTCTGGTGGCTTCCTCAAAGGCTTCTGAGAACTAGAAAGGGGAGTATCATATTCAAATTGAATGGGAAAAGGCACTTGTATGAGCAGAAGCTGGGCTCAGAAAGTCTGGGACTTGTCTGCTGAGCTTCGAGGGGTCTGGAATATCCTGCCGGGCTGCAGGAGAAGGAAGAGGAAACTGAGGCAAAGTCTCTCTGCCAGGCTGAGTTGTATGCGTTTGGAGCCCTGGAAGGTTTTGGAGCATGGCAGGATAGGCCCTGAAATAGATTTTTCCACCCTCGTGCCTCTGACCTGGCCTCTGGGGTCACCAGAAGGGAGGACAGGGAGCCGTGTGGTAATGTGGAATAAAGAACTGGGGATCAGGACACCTTGTCTTATCCTCCCTCAGCTTTGTGTAAGACTTCAGCCCTGGCCGATTCTCGAGTCACCAGAAATTGTGGGTGTGAAAGCAGTTTGCCCAAAATCAAGAGTAGAGAGCCGATACCTGGCACACAGATCCAAGTGTTATGGCCGATGCCTGTGACAGACATCACTAATCAATCCCAGCACTTGCTACTGCTGAGCATGGTACTCAAGGCAGCCATGGTCAATCAATTGGTGTTATCCTCTGAATCATGTTGATAACTTGACTGTGGATTTTTTGAACACAGGGATTGTCACATCATTCTTCTCTGGGTTGTCATAACATTCAATGTACATTTCCACTCTGTTCTTATTCTTTATTTATCCTGTCAGTTGCTATCCTCTAGACCCTTCTTAAAGACATGTTCCTTCTAGGAACTCTTCACCTCTGTCACCTCTTCCAGGAAGCACTCTTGGGTTCAGATTGCATTTGAGGTCCCTCCTCTAGGCTTCCACAGTGTCCAGGAAGTCGGCAGGAACACATTTATCCCTTGTGCTTTTCTTTTTTGTGCCTGTGTCTGGGTCCTGTGCTGTCGCCTTCCCTCCCCAAGGTCTAACTCACGCTGAGTCTAACTCATGTCGGTTGGTTCCCAGTGCCCAGTGGGGACACACACAAACTGAGGGGTGATGATGGGTGTCTCATGGCATGGGGGGACAAAGATGGGCACTGTGTTCTCCCTGCTAGGGAAATGGTCCTAGGTAACCTGTCACCTGTCTGTTCTTGGCACAAGCCACAAACTCACCCTGTTTTGTTAATTTGCTGTCTATCTTTATAAAGAAGTCCCCGTAAAAGGCTCTGTCAGTATCTTAGTCCCTTTGGGCTGCTGTGCTGCTAGAATACCATAGACTGCGTGGCTTTTAAACAACAGAACTTTGTTTCTCGCAGTTCTAGAGGCTGGGAAGTCCAAGATCAAGGTGCCAACAGATTCTGTGTCTGGTCGGGGCCTGTTCCTTAGGTGGTGCCTTCTCACTGTGCCCGAAGGGGTGAGGGATCCCTCTGAGGCCTCTTTTGTAAGGGCACCAATCCCGTTCTTGAGGGCTCTGTCCTCGTGACCTAATCACCTCCCAAAGGCCCCACCTCCTAACACTGTCACCCTGGCTATTAGGTTTCAACCTGTGAATTTTGTGGGCGACACAAACATTCAGACCGTAGTGGTGAATCTCGTTCACCACCGTACCCCAGTGTCCAGCACGGTGTCTGGCACACGGTGGGTGGTGTTCAAGGGTTGTCATTATTCTGAGTCACACAGGAAGCTTTGTACTATCACACTGCGAAGTGACAATCACCAAAACCCTGCAGCACAAGAAGGAGCAGGCTGATCAAGGGTACTGGGTGGGCAGGAGGAGGACAGGGCCAGGTTCAAGCTACGCCCAGGGCTGAGGACATCATGGGTGAAAGACACTAGTCAACAGATGGTTGAGGCTGGTTGACGACTGTGCGTTTTCTCTGCGGGGATGGTGAGCGAGGCCAGAGGGCCAGGGATTAGGGGCGAGAGGTGCAGGAATGGGGCCTGACCCTGCTGGCCTTGCTGTACCCCTCCTCCCCAGCTGGCGTTGCAGACGGGGCGGGAGCCCCCACCCATCTGGCGAGTCCAGAAGGCCCTTCTGCAGAAATTCACTCCAGAGATCAAGGATGGCCAGAGGCAGTTTTGTGCTACCAGTAACGTAAGCCTGCAGGGGGAATGAGGACGGGGGGCCTCTAGGGAGGGATGTCTAAAAGCCGGGGTTCCCCTCACACACGGCTCTGACTCTTGCTCTAAAGTTCATCTGGAAGGGGGTCTCCAGCTCCTGGCAGGCTCCGGGTGGCTGCCGTGGTGGCCCAGAACAGGGTGGGAAGCTCGGGTGTCGGGCTGCCTGGCTGGGGGTGCGTGAAGAACTTCCTCATGTGCCTCTTTCCTTCCATAGTATTTGGGGTATTTTGGGGACGCGAAAAACCGGTACCAGCGCCTCTATGTAAAGTTCCTAGAAAACGTCAACAAGAAGGATTACGTGAGGGTCTGTGCCCGGAAACCCTGGCACCGGCCTCCGGCGCCAGTCAGGTACCTGCCACGGGGATGAGGGACAGGTGGCATGCAGGGCCCACGGGCATGGAGATGGAACCTGCGAGGGGAGGGGACAGAGACCCAGAGAGAAGAGAACAGAGCGTGAGGGAATCTGTTTCTGTGCTTAGGATGCTGAGTCGGGGAGACCCAGGGAGGAAACTGGGTTTCTCAGGAGCTGTGACTACAGTCCCTTCTCTGTTCCTTCCAGACGCTCCGGCCAGGCCAAGAACCCTGCATCTGCCGGGGGCAGCTCTGCCCCTCCTCCCAAGGCCCCAGCGCCCCCTCCCAAGCCTGAGACCCCTGAGAAGACACCATCTGAGAAGCCCCCAGAGCAGATGCCTGAGACGGCTGTGCCCGAGCCCCCTGCCCCTGAGAAGCAGTCCCTACCCCGACCCGTCGAGAAGGACAAGGAGAAGGAGAAGGAGAGAGTGGTACGTGGGGAGCGGCCGTCGCGGGGCGAGCGAGGCACCAGCGGGCGGCAGACACGGCCCGAGCGGAGCCTTGCCGCGGGACAGCCTGCGGCTTCCCGGCTGCCCAAGGCCCGGCCCACCAAGGTGAAGGCTGAGCCGCCCCCTAAGAAGAGGAAGAAGTGGCTGAAGGAGGCAGCAGGCAACGCGTCAGCCGGCGGGGGCCCACCAGGCAGCTCCTCAGACTCCGATTCATCCCCTGGCGCTCCCAGCGAGGACGGTGAGGCCCTCGGCAGGGGTCGAGTGGGAGGCTGGGGAAGTGACTTGAGCCTTTGGACGAAGGCACAGGTAAGGGCTGTCGAGAAGGTTCCAGGTAGCCTCGGCAAGACAGTAACAATAAGTCACAAATAACAGCAGTAGCTAATGGTTACCTAACTGCACGGCAGGCTGTTTTCTGAGTACTTGGTGGATGTTAACGTGCTTAATTGTCACAAGTGCTAGGCGGGGATACTATTATTATCCTCATATACAAATGAGGAAACTGAGGCACCCAGAGAGTGCTGCACAGCCCATCTTGGATGTCCCCCAGCGTGGCAATGCGGCTGTTGGTGCCTCAGGCTGTGTTCTTCAACGCTCCACTCTTGCCTCAAAAAAGGCAGGTTTTGAGGGCTGAGGCAGGTGTGGGACTGGTGTCTATCCTGGAGGCCTGGTGATGGTGATGTGACTTGCTGTGACTCACTCGGTGACCCTGAGAAAGGGGTATAACCTCTTTGTGACTGTAAAATGGGTTAATAATAGACAAGCCCATAGGAGGGTGCTTGCCTTGAGCTCCGTGTCTGCCCAATATGCTGCTGTATACCCATGGCCTAGAATGTTCCTGGTTTGTAACAGTTACAAAAGTAAGTATACATACACATTTGTAAATTTTTTTCCTTTTGAGACAGTCTCACTCTGTGGCTCTGAGTAGAGTGCAGTGGTGTCATCATAGCACCACAGCCTCAAACTCCAGGGCTCAAGTGATCCTCCTGCCTCAGCCTCCTGAGTAGCTGGAACCATAGGCATGCACCACCATGCCCAGCTAATTTTTTCTATTTTTAGTAGAAATGGGGTCTCACTCTTGCTCAGGCTGGTCTGGAACTCCTGACCTCAAGAGATCCTCTCAGCCTCCCAGAGTGCTAGGATCACAGACGTGAGCCTTTACACCCAGCCCACAATATGTAAATTTAAAGTAACAGCTAACTTTTATTGAGTGTTTACTATGTGCCAGGCATCATTTTAAGCACTAACATGTTGGCTTACTTTATCTTGACATAAACCCTGGGAAGGCTGGGTGCAGTGGCTCACACCCGTAATCCTAGCACTTTGAGAGGTTGAGGCAGGAGGATCGCTTGAGGCCGGGAGTTTGAGACAGTCTGGGCAACATAGTGAGATCTTGTCTCTACAAAAAAAAATTAAATAAAAAAATTAGCCAGGCACAGGGGCACGTACCTATAGTCCTAGTTTACAGTGAGCTGTGATGATGCCACTGCACTCTAGCCTGGGCAACAGAGTGAGACCCTGTCTCAAAACACAAAAAACCATGGGAGGTAGGTGCTATAGATTTATCCCCATTTTAAGATGAGGAATCTGAGGCACTGAGAAGTGATGTGACTTGCCCAAAGCCACACTCTTAGCTATAGTGCCGAGGTCGCTGTTTTGGTAGAGACTGGAAATACAGCAAGTCAAATGAGGGATGTGGAATTTTCTTTCCATCAAAGCCCCGTTTGTAGGCAGGAGGTTTGTGGAAAATAAAAGGCTCTTTTTTAAGGTTTTGCAGGGTCTCCGTTTCCTTTCTTCTTGTTGATCGGCTGTCCCTTGTTGCCATGTCCTCTGACACATGGTCAGAGGCAGCTCAGCAGCTCCACACCTGCAGTCTTGCCAGTAGGGAAGGACACAAGGGCAACAAATTTTGTCCTATGTCCTGTCTTCTCATATTCCATTGGCTAGAACTTGGTCACATGGTCATCCCTAGCTGCAAGGGAGGCTGGGAAATGTAGTCTTCTAACTTGGCAACCTGTGCTTGGCTAAGAAATCAGGCCAGGTAGAACCAGTTAGAGCTGGGCCAGGTGAAGGTGGGGCATGAGAGAAGGTTTATTAGAGGCCCAGATTCATATGTCTTTTCCTTTCTCACCCCCAGTTTTCTTTTTTTTAAAGCAGGTGTATTGATTTAATTCATATACAATACAATCCACTTATTTAAAATGTACAACTTAGTGGCTTTGTTGCTTCTCATTCAACACCTCTGGCTTGGCAGGCTCCCACAACATTCCAGTGAGCCCGCGCCCTGTTCGTCCCCGTGGCCACCCACAGACCTCCCCAATACCCCCCTATCCCACTGAGCTCCTTGCCCTGGTTTCCCTATCTTAGCGACAGCCCTCTGGCCACCCAGTCACTAGGCCATCCTCACCTCTCCTTTCTACCTCTCACACCCCAGCTGGGCAGTCCCCAGCCCTGCGCCTTCTCACCTGATGACCCCATCCCCCAACTCTTTCTCACAGCCCCTGCCCAGCTCAGCCTCTTGCTCTGCCCCTGGCCCTGTGTCCTGTCGCACAGCCCTGCACCAGCCCCATGCTTTGCTACTTGGTCTACTGTCCTGGCCTCCAGTCTCACCCATCCAATCTGTCCCCTGCCTGACCTCAGACGGGACTTTTCTACACTTACACTCATCTCTCCCCTACTCTCAGCTCTCCCATGGCTTCCTAGTGACCACCAGAAAGAGTCTCTGCCATTTCTGCCTCATGTTGGTGGCCCTGTATGGTCTGGCCTGCACCAACCTGTGTGGTCCCAGCACTAGTCACCTCCATCAGTCTTGCCTCTTAAGATCTAATCTCTCTGACTTGATTCACTGTTTTAGAAACCAACTCTGCTGCTTCTTAATGGAAGCCACACTGAGCTAGGCAAACAAAGTTCCTTGGCCCAGAAGGTTCTTTCCTATCACTCAAGACTCAGCTTTCCTTTGACCTTGAGCAAGCCTTCCCTGACCACCCAGGTGAGCTTGCAGTGCCTGAGATTCTGTCGTGAGGACACGTTGCACTGGTGCTTGGCTGTCAGTCTTGCTCAGTGGACTTGGACTTCCTGGAGCAGGGATTTCTCTCCTGTTTAGAACAGGGTCTGGCACACAGGTGGCCTCAGAGGAAGTTAGAATAACGAGCTCACATCCTATTTTTCCCACAGAGCGGGCAGTGCCTGGGCGTCTGCTGAAGACCCGGGCGATGCGGGAGATGTACCGGAGCTACGTAGAGATGTTGGTGAGCACAGCACTCGATCCAGACATGATCCAGGCCCTGGAGGACACGCATGGTGAGCTGAGGCCTGAGGGGAAGGGCTGGACGCCTGGGTCTGGGGGAAGAGGAGGCTGTTGGCTCCGACTCCTGGGTCTGAGTGGGGAAGGGATCTAGGAACCCAAGCTACCTGGCCCCTCCTCGGCCCTGGTGTGTTGTGGGGCTGTGGCTCTTCTGACACCCTGCCATTGTCTTTCAGACGAACTGTACCTCCCGCCCATGCGGAAGATAGACGGCCTCCTGAATGAGCACAAGAAGAAGGTCCTGAAGCGGCTGTCGCTGAGCCCAGCCCTGCAGGTGCTTGGGGGCCGGGGCAGGGGGTGTCTGGGGTCGGGGCAGGCATGGAGAAGACCTGTCCGTGGCAGCTGCCATGGTGGAGGGATCACTGAAAGGGGATCATTGGCCTGGGCTTGGCTGGGAGGAGAGTGGAGGTCAGGACTGTCAGGAGGAGGTCCATGGTCCCCACAGCCCTGAGGTCCCTGGTGGAGGGGGGCTGTGCGCCTTGGCATGGCGCAGGGGTGGTTGGGAAGGCCCAGCAGAGCACAGTTCTGCGTATGAGTCTGGAGGCAGGTGTAGACCAGGGCCTGCCCCCAGGCTCACGGTGGGACAGCGCATCCTCGTGGCTAACTCGCTGACATGACGCAGGCTCTCGGATTCCAGGCTTCAGTGTTAAATCATCTATATGATTTCCCTTCTGGAATGGTCCAGGGTTCTGATACAGTGTTAATCTGACTCTGAGGATTCTGGTTGGGATGTTAGTCTGGCACTGAGGATTTGGGGATAGAATGTTGGAGACACTCAGGATTCTGAGAATGTCAGTCTGGCTTGGAGAATGTTTTCTGAGACTTCTGGAATAGATTTTAGGCTGGCGCTGAGATGGCTGGAGAGATGTTAGTCTGGCTCAGAAAATAGGAGGTGAAAGGTTAGTGTGGTTCTGAGAATCCTGGGTAAGATGTTAGTTTCACACATTCTGGGTGGGATGTTAGGACAACTGAAAATTCTGGGATGGATTGTTCAACTGGCAATGAGAATCCTAAGATAGAGTGTTATGCTGACTCGGAAAATTTTGGGATAGAGTATTCAGTGGGTTGGAAAACTCTGGATAGAATTAGGTTCTGAAAACACTGGAGGTTTTGAGTCTAGTCTACGAATTCTGGGATGGCTTGTTATGCTGGGGTTCAGAATCCTCACTATTAGGGGAGGTCTGAGAACTATGGGTTGTTAGTCTGGTATTAGAATTCCGGGATTAAATGTCAGCAAGCACTTTAGGATGGAATTTTAAGTGACTGTTAGAATTTTGGGTAGGATTTTAGACTGGTGCTGAGAATTCTGGGATAGATGGTTAGACTGGCGCTGAGAATTCTGGTTTGAAATTTTGGTTGGCGCTGAGAATTCTGGGTAGAACGTGATGTCTCTGGGAATCCTTTGCCGGGCCAGAAAGCACGGTATAAGGGCCACCAGACAGGCCCAGGCTCCTCTGTCCTTTGAGGAGACCAAGACTCCAGAGTGTCTCTCCTGATCTGTAGCCTGGGGGAAACTGAGGCACCTGGTGACCAGGAGATCTGAGAGCTGCGTGTTGAGTTTGGGGTGTGTGGGTGCAGGGAGGTGTCCTGCTGACCTGTTGGCTTCCCACAGGACGCCCTGCACACGTTCCCACAGCTGCAGGTGGAGCAGAGTGGGGAGGGCTCCCCCGAGGAGGGCGCCGTGCGGCTGCGGCCGGCCGGGGAACCCTACAACCGCAAGACGCTCAGCAAGCTGAAGAGGAGCGTGGTCCGAGCCCAGGTGGGGGCCGCGCCGGGGTGGGGGGCGGGCCGCCCAGCGGGGGGCCAGAGGGGCTGAGGCGTCTCTACTCCACGCGCCCAGGAGTTCAAAGTGGAGCTGGAGAAGTCGGGATACTACACGCTCTACCATTCACTCCACCACTACAAGTACCACACCTTCCTGCGCTGCCGGGACCAGGTGAGCACCCCCGCAGCACCCATCGCCCCGGGATTCCAACCTGCGTGACCTCTTCTCCGGACCCAGGAGGCCAAGTGCAGCCCCTCCTCCCTAAGTCCTGGGGCTCCAGGCCCCAGCCCCTCCTCCCTCAGACCCAGGGGTCCAGGCCCCCAGCCCCTCCTCCCTCAGACCCAGGGGTCCAGGCCCCCAGCCCCTCCTCCCTCAGACCCAGGGGTCCAGACCCCCAGCCCCTCCTCCCTCAGACTCAGGGGTCCAGACCCCCAGCCCCTCCTCCCTCAGACTCAGGGGTCCAAGCCCCCAGCCCCTCCTCCCCCAGACCCAGGGGTCCAGGCCCAGCCCCTCCTCCCTCAGACCCAGGGGTCCGGGCCCCCAGCCCCCTCCCCTCCTAGAGGCTGGTGTCGCACCTTCCGTAGCTCTGCGTTTAACCCTACAGACCCTGGCCATCGAAGGCGGTGCTGAGGACCTGGGCCAGGAGGAGGTGGTGCAGCAGTGCATGCGGAACCAGCCGTGGCTGGAACAGCTCTTTGACTCCTTCAGCGACCTGCTGGCCCAAGCACAGGCCCACAGCCGCTGTGGGTGACCCCACCCCAGCCGGGGGTTGGGGGAGCGCCTCCTCCATGAACCGAGAATTGGGACAGAACTGTGTCCTCAGGAGCTAATCCCTGGGCTCCGTCGCCAGGGAAAGTGGGGGGGTCTCTGGTCAGGGTGTGTCCATGCTGCCCCCCCAAGGGCAGGGTTCAAAGTCCGACTCCCCCGCTTTCCCAGTCCCCCTCTACTCCTTCCCCATTCCTCCCACTGTTTGGTGTACAGAGAAATTATTTATATATATGTATAAATGTCTATTTAGTAACGGTTTCCCTCTCCCCTTGCCCGACCCCCCCCCCACGGCCACAGCCCTGCCCCCTTCACCTTGTACATAATGTATAGGAAAAGTCTATGGTTGAGGGGGGCGGGGCAGCTTCAGAGAGCTGGGGGGGCCTCCCCTCCCCCAAGTCCCCCCATTAGGCCAAGATTTGCTAAAGGCCATTCCCTCCCCAGGGCATTTGGCATCGGGTGGGAGGGGGAAAACGCATCTTGTTAATTATTTTTAATCTTATTTATTGTACATACCTGGGGTAGGGGCCGGGGAGGTAGAGGGGGAGAAGGGTCCCCGCTCTCTGCTCCCTCACTCCTTTTCTACGGCGATTTGTCTGTGTCTGTCCCCTACCCGCTGCCCCCCCATTGTCGTCTGGATGTGGTTCTATTTTTTATCGGTCTCCTCTCCCTTCCCCCTCTCGGCTCCCCCATCCCCCACTCCCACCACCCTTTGTCTCTTGCTCTTTCTTGGGCTTCTGTACAACTCAACTTGTATACACTGTGTACACACAACCAGCCAAACGAAAACCCAACGGCAAACACTTTACCAGCAGGCTGGAGTGCCTCTGTCCTGCGGCGTTTGGGTGGGCCTGAGGGTGGCAGGGGGCAGAGGGGCTGGAATGGGGCTTTTCTAGAGCCCTGGGAAGTAGCCTGAGGTCTGTGTATGCTCTATGTTGCTGTGTAACAAACCACCGCACCCTGAGAGTTATTTTTTATTTTTATTTATTGTTTTTGAGTCTATTAGTGTTAGATCATACCCACCCCAAAATTTAATGACTTCAAACAACAAACATTTATTCTCTTAGGGTCTCTGGAGTTCAGAAGTTTGGGGGCAGTACTGGCCTGGTGTCTTTCACGAGGGTGTAGTCAAGATGTTGGCCAGACAGCAGCCATCTTGAGAGTTGGGTGCAGCTGCACAATCCACTTTCGCGATGTTTCGCTCCATGGCTGTTGCTACAGAGCTGCTGGAGTGTCTTTACCAAGTGGCAGCTGGCTTCCCCCAGAGCAGGTGACCCAAGAGAGCCAGGAGGAAGCCACATTTTTTTTTTTAGGTCCTAGTCTTGGTCATTGTATACCATCCCTTCAGCCACACTCTTCATCAGAAGAGAATCTTTTTTATTTTTTTCCTAGTTCATGTGTTTTATTAACTCCTACACAGTTACTTGTCATTTGGTTTGCTGAAGCAGTAAGTCAGATGACATTTGCCACCATGATGTCTGTCAAGGTGGCTGGCCATGAAAGCTCGGCCCCACATTCATCCGAAGGACGCTCCTGACCAAGGTGACTGATTTTGCCTGTCTCATCCACCTGATAGTATTTCAGGACAGCCAGCCTCACCTTTCTCTGCACTCGTGCTTCTTGCGAGTGGCATACGACGTCTTCCTTTTCTTAGTACCACCATGACGTCTCAACACAAATTAAAAAGTGGACTCCTTTGTTGTAGTCAGACAAAGTATTAATATGTCCATCTTCCAGTTGCTTGCAACAACCAGTCTTTGCTGGTTAGGAGGGATTCCTTCCTTATCCTGCATCTTGGCCTTTTTCTCCGAGGTTTGAACCTTGAGAGCGACAGTCTCCCCCATGATGGTTTTGATGAAAATCTATTTTGGTGGCGGTTCCACTGCAGATGGTGGATCATAAATGCAGAAGAGAATGATTAAATTCAGCACACCCTCAAAAGCAGAGAGGAGTTCAGCTCTACTTCTTGAAGGAAGAATTACTCAAAACTTAAAAATATTTGTAATCACTACAGGCAGTGACAGTGTCAGGAGCTGGCCAGCTTTTTCTTGGCTCACTAATGTAAGGTTGAGGGTGGGTCTTCCTTTTCTGGGCCCTGAAATGCAAAGTTGTGGGTGTTGTGGTGGCAGTGTTTCTAGGGGCTGGCCTGCACGGTGGAGGATGGAGTCCTGTATTCCCTATGTTGCCCAGGCTGGACTCGAACTCTTGGCCTTGGGGGATCCTCCTGCCTCAGCCTCAAGAGTAGCTAGGGTTACAGATGAAGCGACCAAGCCCAGCTCAAGTCCTGTGTTCTTGAGCCTTGCTATTCAAAGTGTGGTCCGTGGCCCAGTACCCTGGGAGTTCCCCAAGAACTTGTAGAAATGTAGACTCTCATGCTGCTTCTCAGATCTGCTCAATCAGAACCCGTTTTTCAGTAAAATCCTGAGGGGATTCTAAAGCTCATTCGAGTTTGAAGAGCAATGTTCTGGAATAGGAATGTTAAAAATGTGGAGGTCAACTGACAGTATTCTAGAAGCCAGCCTGTAAAGTAGTGAAATCATTCTAGAGCCCAGACACGCATTGTCAAAGGTGGACCACTGGTGTTCCAGAAACCTGGGTTCGTCAGTGGTGGAGACCCAGTGAGATTCCAGGGTGGAACAGCAGTGTTCCGTACTCCCTCCCATGTGAAACTGAAGAAGAACGCTCACAGTTCTAGAATCTTGGATATTGTCTAGATTGTCATGTTATAGATTTTAGAGCCCTGGTTTTATAGAAGAGAGGATGGTTAGTAGCATTTGAGAACCATAATGGAAGTGTCAACAATGGACATGAACTTTCTAGAATCATTGAGTTAAGAGGGTTGAGGATGGACAGTTAGTGTCTTAAACTGGCCTGCGGAGTGCACCCTTTGACGGGGAGTGGCACACTCAAGGTTCCGGACTGGGCTGTCAAGTCAGAGCCAACGGATTGGCATCGTCCCAGGCCAGAGGTCCAGGATAGAAAGTGGATGGAATGTTCTAAGGCTGGATGGTGGGATCAGGAATCATCTCTTTAGGGATAAAATAACCATGTGGTTGGCCTTTGGTACCCAACTGCCCAAATTTGGGTCTCAGCTGCAGCACTAACCGTGCAAGTTGGTTACAGGCACCATCCTCAACTTTCTCATCTGTTAAATGGGCTTTTGTCAAAATAAAGGAAGACGAGTTTAAAGCACCTGGCCCACAGCTCCTGTTGCCTATAGCAGGCCCTGAGAGGTTTGGCAGGGCTCCAAGACATGGCAGAAAGGGGATAGAGGAGGGCTAAAGTGGTTAGACAGGGACATGGAAACGTGGAGACAGAATCACTGACGGCCCACTAGAGCTCTGGGTAGGGCAGAAGCCAAACACACACAGGCACGAACACGTGCCTGGGGAGATGCCAGCCTTCTGGCTGTGGTCTTAACGAGCTTTGGGATGCTAGTGGCTGTGAACCTTCCAAAAATGGCCTGCCAGTTGTCTCAGGGGTTTGACTGTGTGCCTTTTTCTGGGGGCAGGCAGTAACTTTCATCGCCTTAATGTGCATCTTGGTCCTGAGAGCCGCAGGGTGTCCCAGCCGAGAACTTGGCCCCATTGGACGTTGCAGGAAAGACTCAGAAGTGCCAAGGGAGTGTTGATTGTGGGACCTGGGGATAGGGAAGTTGGCACAGGACTCCTTTCTGTTGAGAGCTCAGTACCCCCAGCTGGGGCTTATGTGGAGGTGTCAGATCTCCTGTGTCACCCCTTCCCCACATCCAGCAGGGTGGGCCCCCGGCGTGCAGAGGTTCTGGCAGGGAGGAGTGCAAACATGTGGCACAATACATCTGAGCCACACTTATTCCCAGGGTGGAAGGTTGAGCAGAGGCCAAGGATTCTGTGATAATGGAATCCGGAAAGGGATATTTAGCTAATCAGTGTTCTAATCTAGGATACAGAGGGCCGTTCGTGGTTCTGGGGCAGAATGGAGAACAGTGGGCCATGGTCACTGATAGTGAGCACTTAGTACCAACGGGGTGCTGTGCTTATCCTGCCTCCAGCCCCGTGCAGATTATTTCCTTTAGCCTCTTGCCCACGCCATGAAGTGGCTCTATGATTGCCCCCATTTTGCAGGTAAGGAGACTGAGGTGGCAGAGCTGTATTCGAATCCAGGCAGCCAGGCGCTGGGGGCCTTGCCAGGCCATGCCTGACCCTAGAACCAGGAAGCAGGTTGTGGGGTAGGTATGACTGGGAGCATTCGGGGATCAGGGACCCAGGGGTGGAGAGAGCAGATTATTGACAGGTGGTGTCGGGTGGAGGCCAGTGTTCCAGGGCTTGAGGACATTTCAGTTGAGGTTTATAGCCTGGTGTGTTGAGCAGATTCCAGTGTTCAAAGATTGGGCCAAACAGGCTTGGGAGGTGGGTGGATGGTGGTCTCCAGTTGCCTCCAGCCTTCCAGGGTAGCAAATAGCAGCCAGGATTGGGAGTCCTGGGTTGGAAGGGGGACAGTCTGAGGGTTCCCAGGACCTGGGTGAGCTTTGGGTTTCCTGACCGAAGTACGTTGTCCACTTACTGTGGCCTTAAGACGTCCCAGACTTTTGCCCCTCCCAGGAGAGAGGCTCAGATGGGCATGTCCACACTGGCCCCAAGTTGGATTCAGGGTTTAGGCTCTGATGCCAGTCCCATTGGGAACTTTCTGGAACTGAGAACTTGCCAGACGGCTGCTTGGACAACATTCCACCCACCTGTCCTTCCTCCAGCCAAAAGGCCTTTCTCAATATACACTGGAAGTGGGAGTTGGGTGGGCAGGTTTTGTAGCAGTTGCTGCCTTTCTCCAAGGTCCTGGAACCTTCTAGAACAGCACTGACCAATAGAACTTTCAGAAACGTTAGGAATGTTGTATAGTTGCCCTGTCCATTAGGCTAGCCACTAACTATGTGTGACTGTGGAGCTCTTGAAATGTTGCTGGTATGACTAAGGAACTGAGTTTATTTAAATAGCCACATGTAGCTTCTGCCTACCATATTGAACATTGTGGTTCTAGAACTTTCCAGGAAAAGAAAATTCTTTCATCAGATGTTCAAACTTCATCCCAATAAAATGCCCACAAAAACAGACAAGGTGGAATTGCCCTGTCGAAGGGGAAGTGGGGGTCCAGATGGCCTGGTTTGGCTTATTCTCTTTATCCCCTGCACCTCCCCAAGCAATAGGTTCTAGATTGGAGTGTTCTAGGTGGAGCGAGGCTTTAGGTGTGCTCTGAATTCACCCACCTCCCCATAGCCCATTTTCCCTTCCTTTTTTTTGTTTTTTTTGTGATGGGGTCTCACAATATTGCCCAGGCTGGTCTTGAACTCCTGGGCTCAAGCGATCCTCCCACCTCAAACTCCCAAGTAGCTGGGTCTATAGGTGTACCCCACTGCAGGCAGCTCCATTTCCCTTTTTAAAAAGCACCTTCTGGCCAGGTGCAGTGGGACACACCTGTAGACCCAGCTACTTGAGAGTTTGAGGTGGGGAGATCACTTGAGCCCAGGAGTTTGAGACCAGTCTGGGCAACATAACGAGATCTCTTATCCAATCCCAAATTTTAAAAAAACAAAGTTTTCTTTAAAAAAAAAAAAAAACCCTCATGATGGCAGTGACATTTATTTTTCTGGGGGAGGGGAGTTATATACAGCAGTGACCTGAAGCCCCTCACTCCCACCAGGGGATTGGGTGGGGAAAGGAGGCGTTGGCAGAAGGCACACAGTGGCGATAGCCTGGAAGAGGCCAGGAAGTAAGGGTGGGGGTGTAGTGTGTCCTGGGAGACCCAGATGAGGAAACTGAGGCTCAGCGAGGGCCT